GGGTCCGGATCCCGAGGCCCTCCAAAATGCGGTGAAGCATTGGGCCCGGAAGAATGAGTTGCGCGGGAGAACGAAAGCCCGCAAAGGTCCCATCCGAGTCTCCGGTCTTGACCCGAAGACTCAAGGATTGGGACGATGACGCGATTTCCATCGCTCTCCACCTGCGCCCCCCCGGGGGGGGCCAGACTTCTTCGAGGGGGCATCTCCTCCTCTGGAATTTACTCACTCGTGCAGCAAAAATTTCATTTCCCCACCAGTTTCCCACCTGTGTGAACAGTCAGCACCACCCAGGGCCCTGGCGCAAGCTGTTGGTCGAACCAGAAGCTGTTACTCCGTCCAGCAAACTCCTTAGCAGCTGGCAGAACCCAGCTCAAAAAGCCCCTCCCAGTCCCGACGTTGTTACTTTGCCCTAATAAATTCCCAAAGCTGACTGTGCTGAAGGTGCCTTCATCATAAGATTTCTGGAATGTAATAAAAAAGCAGACAGTGGTTGGAGCCAGTATTTGTTGAGGGTTTACAGCTTGTGAAACTTGATGTTAAAAGTTTTATATCCAGCCGGGCGTGGTGGCGCACGCCTGTAATCCCAGCACCCGGGAGGCTGAGACAGGAGGTTTGGTCAGCCTGAACAACTTAGTGAGGCCCAATCTCAAAAAAGGTTTTTTTTCTTTAAATTTTTTTCAAGGGCTGGGGCTGTAGCTCAGTGGCAGAGCACCTGGAATTCAATCCCCCAGGCATAGCAGCACATGCCTATCATCCCAGCGCTGGGGAAGCTGAGGCAGGAGGATGGCCCTAAATTTGAAGCAGGGTCTCCTGGGGCTTGTGAAAGGTGGAGAACCCCAAGACCGAGGTGGCTGGTCAGTGACCACGGTGGGGGTTCCTGCCTGGGACACACCCCCTCAGGCTCCTTTGTCAAATTCTAGGCCAACAGCTGACAGTCACCGCGACAGGGCCCAGGTGCCCAGCAGCAGCTGGCACACCGGAGGAGGAGACAGCATCTGTGTGTTGAAATTGAGATCCTCCTGCCTCAGCCTCCTGAGTGCAGGGATGAGAGGCATCGTGGAGCCACCTGGCAACTTCCCCTTCTATTCAGTTGGTCTTAATGCCTTTCGTCAGTCTGAGTCAGCCTCCCTCCTAACACAACACCAATCCCTGGTTTTTAAAGCAATTAGTGCCACCTGCTATTGCCAAACTCTCTCTCCCTCATTTCAGACCCCGTGGTTACACCGTCAGCTGCGAGTGTCACAGTGTCACACTGACAGGTAATGTCACCCGAGCCAGCCCCCTCTGCCGCCTTCCCGCTAAGGTGGCTCACTCACTCCAGCAGCCCCCACCTGTCCCATTGTGCCTTCGGGGCGTCTCCAGAGCCTCTGGCTGTGGACAGGCAGGCAGGGCCGTGTGCCCCACAGCAGAGGGATTCAGAAAGCGGGAGAGAGGGGGGACAGGGTGTGCTGCCGCAGGAGCGTGGCAGGCACAGGGGAAGGGAGGCGCCCATGACTGGTGGCGTGTGGGGTGCTCTGGGCCTGCCCAGGCAGGGTGGCCTGGGACAGAGGCTTCTTTGTCTGTGCTCCGGAAGCAGCTGGTGGTGGGTAGCAGGGACACATGGTAGAGTCTGGCAGGGTGCCTGGGCGGAGGGCTCAAGCTGGACTGGGAGACAGGGAGGGGAGAGGTGGCGGCCCCATCCGGTCCCAGACTCCAGGGGACCCCCTCCGTGGAGAGCTCTGATGGGCAAACTGAGGCCCAGAGTCACTCTCCTGGGTCCCACAGCCAGGAAGGAACATGGGTGAACCTGAACTCGAGCCACAGAGTGAGTGACCCTCCTGCAACGGTTTACACGTGTCCTCCTAAAGTTCGTGTGTCAAAAACACAACCCTGGAATCCATATGTTAACTATGTCTAAGCTGGGTGTTCACCCCAGCACTGGGGAGGCTGAGGCAGGAGGGTTGCTGCCAGTTCCAGGCCAGTCTAGGCTACATAGAGAGACCCTATTTCAAACAAAAACAAAACCAAAACAAAAATAATCCTTGGTAGTGGTGTCTTTGGGGATGACTAGGTTTAGGTGAGGTCACAACAGCAGGGTCCCATGGTGACACTGGTGGCTTTTATTTGGGAGGTTAAGTCTTGCTAGGTTACCCAAGCTAGACTTGAATAAACCTCTACTCTTTATAAAGAGACTTGGCCTGTGACATTCAGTTATAGCAACAGAAAATGAACAGAGACACCACCCTGTGCTCTTGGGCCACTCCCTGCCCAGCACGTCCCTCAGCCCCTGGGCAGGGTATCGTAAGGGGTCCACACACACAGATTCTTTCTCTTTTTTTTCTTGTTTTTTTTTGTTTTTGGGTGTTTGTTTGTTTGTTTGTTTGTTTTTGAGACAGGGTCTCACTGTGTAGTGAGACTGACCTGGAACTCACTATGTAGCCCAGGCTGGTCTTGAACTCACAGCGGTCCTCCTGCCTCAGCCTCTGGAGTGCTGGGATGACAGGCGTGCGCCACCACGCCCAGCACATGGATTCTTTCTTAAAAGGGGTGAACACAGGTACTACTGCTCAGGAGTGCAGGGCTTCCAGGGGATTTGAGCCTTTACACTGCAAAAAAATAATTTTTAAAAATCTGTTTAAAACTAAATTTAGCTGGGGATGTAGCTCAGTGGTGCAGCACGTGCCTGGCCCTAAATTTGATCCTGGGACAAAAAACAAAAACATTGCCTCTGGCTTTTGCTGTAGTGACACAAAGCTGACTGACACAGATGGCTGCTGGGCAGGAGAGTGGGGAGGAGATGGCACCCCCGAGACACCCGAGGGCAGAGGCAGGAAGCCCCAGGAGGGCTTGGAGGACCAAGAGGAGGACCTGGGGCGG